AGGCTGGTGCAGCAACAGAAGGCCATCCATGAGATGGCCTTGCTTGGGGAGATAGGGATCAGCGCCCCCCTGAACAGAGCTGAGTGGGGTACCATCTCCCAGATGCTGGTAGTCCTCAAGCCCTTCCTCAAGGCCACCGAGACCCTTAGCACCGGCGATGCCCTCCTCAGCCAGGTGATCCCTCTAGTGAGGGAACTGGAGAACCAAATGGAGAAGTTCCAGGGGATCAGTGTTCCTGGCTGGGGCAGACCGCTGTCACCAGACGTGCAGGCAGTGGTGAGGCGGCTGAAGAAGGGCATCAGGAAACGGCTGGATCTCTTGCAGTCTGGTACAGTCCACATGATGGTGGGTATGTGCAGCCTGAAGGTGAAGGGGAGTATGTGCACTCGCAGCCCCAAAACCCTTGATTACTGGATGCAGGTGCTGGTGAACAAAGTCAGGGAGGCCGAAGTGCAGAGGTGAGGGGATGTGGAAGAGCGGGATTGACTTTCCCGTGCCAGCACTGCCAGCACGAGCACCAGCACCAGGCAGTCTCCTCCATGCCAGCCACTGCCAATGTGAGCCATGGGCATGGCTTCAATGTTGGGGTCCAAACGCACCAGGCCCCAGCCTCGGGCAGGTAGCACTGAGGCTTCAGTGGCTATCTATCTTGCTGAGGATGTGGAGCTACTGGACTGCAACTCCTTGGCCTATTGGGCAAACTGCAGGCAGATATGGCAGGATCTGGCCACAGTTGCCTGGCAACACCTGTCCACCAACCAGTGTTCCAAGCGAGAGGGTGTTCAGCATTGCTGGGGATGTTGTGGCACCCCACCGCACCTGCATGGATCCTACGTTGGTGGAGCAGCTGGTGTTCTTGAAGGTGAACCTCCCACTGCTGGGGTTACCCAAGTTCCATGTGCAAATGGACTGAGTGCCACCCTCCTCACTGTGTCTGCACCAACTTCCTTTTTTGAGTTGTTGAAAAGCCGAGTAATGCCCTGCTCTCAGCTGGAGGGGGCACTAACTGCATCACCAGTGAGCAGGGGAAGAACATGTTCCTGCTGATCTCATTCCCCTGCCAGGACAAACTTGGAGGTATGGGATTGTGGCTATGGGGAAGTAGGAAGCCCCAGGTCCTGGGCATGACCACTAAAGCTGCACCCTGCCACTGTAGGGAGGCCTGGTAGGACTGCTGGTGGCGCAGCAGCCCCGTAAATGCCAGGATCAACAATCCCCTGGTGAAAGGCGGGTAGGAGGCACCATAACCTCC